TAGAACAGATCACCTTGCACATATACATATATATATTATTTAGTGTGAGATATGCCTTGGCTGTGGCACTTGGCGTTAACCTGGCTGGTGAGTCAATTTGGACATATGTCGAGAATTCCATTCCCCCCACCTCCTCCTCTGCCCCATTTGCGATCTTTGTAAACAAAGCAAAGCGTTTTGATTCGTTTCAATTGAAATCAATTATACCATCTACATACATATACATACACATATATATACTCTGTTTTTCTTTTCTCTATTTTTTGTGTAATTACAGGCCGTTCTTGGCAACGGCTCCATAAAGGGACTATACGCTAATAGCGGTTCCGTCAGCTGCGGTGGCCTGCTCTGCCGTCCCGTCACTGGAATCTTTACACGCGATCCGTTGCCAGAGGACGCATATGTTCATGTGGCCACAATACCAGCGGGTGCCTCGAATATATCCATAACCGAACTGAAGAACAGCGCAAATTTACTTGGTGAGCTAAATACTATACTTATAAATTGATTGATATACCCTGTGCTTGCTGCGAAATTAATTATTAGATTATGGCATGCTGCCGCTGCTTTAAGTAATCTCGAATTTAAACACTCAGAATTAGTTAAACGTAATATTTACATATATCTAATGTTAATTTTTTATACATTTCAAAATCGAATGCCAACAGACAAAAAGAATAATGACACTGCATATATATACCATATTCGATATATAAAGATTATACTGGCACTATAATATGACGAGTATTAGATATTTGAGAGGGAGGGGAAACTCGTATTGCTCTTGTGCATGCATTAAGCAGCTGTAGATGTAGACAGCCAAATTAATAATCGAACAAAATATTGTAACACAAAAAATAAGAAAATTATTAACTAACTAGCAGAAATATAAATATTTCAGATTAAAACCCATACAGCTAACCATTGTACAAAATAAATTTGTAGCATAAGCTTCAAAATATTGTCAAGAATAAATTAAATAACTAAATTGTGTCAATCTAATGCTCGTTCGTCCACAGCTCATTATGATATCTCCAAGTTAGTAGTAGTTGGATATAGTAGATATAGTATAGTAGATTGCAAATAGTATTTACTTTAAATTTGTCTTCAGTACAAGATTACAATGATACAAGATTGTTACGATGTTTAATAAAAATCCGCCAAAATTGAAATTTTTCAATAGATTTGAAGTCTAAATTGCGAGTCTGAACAGGCGAAAGAAAATACTGCCATATATACAATATTTTCATAAATTAATAACTCCCTCAATATTCCCTCAAAAAATAGAATCAAATATAGCCGTTAGGAACGAGAGCAGTACTTATTTATTGAATTACTTATTTTCCTGTAATAATTTGAATTCAAGGTATAATTGTTTGCATAAGATTTATGTAATGGGGAAAAAGAATTGTAGCTGAGTATATTATATACATATAATCGTGATCAGAATCAACAATTTGAATTTGATTTAAAACATTATCGAACTTCATGAATAGAATAACATCTGTTTGGCTACAATTTTGAGACAGAGTTTAATTTAGGTTTATTTTAATCGATCTACAAAATTTAAATTTAGTTTCTTTATTTACTTAAAATTAGCATTTATTTCGAGAATATTAGCAACAGTTTAATTCCCATATTCTTTGGCTTCATTTCAATTACATTTACATTACATTAAATTTACAATTGACTTCAACAGAAACGAAATTAAAAAGACAAACATATATTCTATGATGCTTAAATTAATTTTAGTTTCTATAGCTTAAGACACATTTTAGACATCATAGATTAAATATAGAATATATTTTATATTTTTATAGAATAATATATTTATTATTGATTATTTCTCTCAGTGCTGCGTACAAGCGAGCAGAAGAGCATTTTCAATGGCGAGAACGAGATATCGGAGAGCGGATCGTATGAGGCGGCGGGCGCAACTTTTGACTACCATCGCATCGATGGAGTGCAGCAGGGCGAGGGCGTGACCGAGTGGATCACATGCACGGGTCCCATTAGGGATCCTGTCGAGCTGCTGGTATGTCCTTGAAGAAGCGTGAGGGATATTGTCCTATAACTTACTGCCACTCTATTGCTCCCCATCAGGTTTACAGCAATATTCTGAATCCTGGCATCAAGTACGAGTACCTGCTGCCCATCGTCTCGGACTCGGAGGAGAATGAGTTGTCGCTGGAGAGCAGCGATGGCTTCTTGAAAGCAGGGGCCGTCAGTGAGGATGGCAGCTCTGGTAACAGCATCCGCACGGGCCGCAAGCGTAAGTTCAACTGGAAGGTGGTCGGCTTCAGCGCCTGCACCAAGTCCTGTGGCGGCGGCACCCAGTCGCCGATAGTGCGCTGTGCCCGCGAGAATCCGGTGCGGTTTTACTCGCAGCGCCGTTGCAGTCACTCGGAGAGGCCGGTGCTCAACGAGAATCTGCTGCACTGCAACACACAGCCCTGTCCGGCCTATTGGCGGGTCGATGATTGGGGCGAGTGTCGTTGCCAGCATGGGGAGGCGGTGCGCCGACGAGAGCTCAGCTGCGTCCAGGAGCTGGCCTCGGGCATCGTGATTCATGTGGACAAGGCCGCCTGCATGGAGGAGCAGCCGCCCAGCGAAAAGCAATGTGAATGCCCCAAGGCCCGACGTCGCAACTCTGCCCGCTATCGCATGCAGCTCCATCCCGAGGGTGCTAACGGAACCCATCTCGTACGCCACCGTGCCCCGAAAGTTGTCAGCGATGCGGTGTGGCTCATGTCCGAGTGGAATCAGTACTGTTCCTCGTCTTGCGGTCCGGGCATCCAGTATCGCACCATCTTCTGCGATCGCTCCAAAACCAAGAGCGAGCGGTGTGACCCCCGCGACATTCCGGAGAACCGCAGGCCCTGCCAGCAAGCGGCCTGCGAGCTAGGCGAGTGGTTCACCGGACCCTGGTCGCCCTGTAGTGGCGATTGCTTCAATCTAACCCGCACTCGCACGGTGCTGTGCATCAAGAATCAGCTCATCACGGACGACGAGGAGTGCAAGGCGGAGCTTAAGCCACAGCCGCTCGAGAACTGTTCGCATGATGAGATTGAATACTGTGCGCCTCGCTGGCACTACTCCGAGTGGTCTGAGGTAGAGGCAATATGGCTTCCCATAAAGTTCCATTCGATTTTTAAACTCTTCCCTTTTCGTCACAGTGCACCAAGAGCTGCGATGGCGGCACCCAGCGACGCACCATTAAGTGCCTGGAGTACGATGACAAGCAGAATGCTCTACGGGAGTCCGCAAGGTGCCGCTATGCATTGAGGGAGCCCATCTATCGCAACTGCAATACACAGAAATGTGAAGGTATTTGACAATGAAATTACAACTATATTATATATTTTTGAACTGCTCTATATATATATTGCTCTAGATCTGAATACTGAACTGCTCCAAAATGATGAGGCATCGCCCTGCGTGGACAACTTTCCCAACTGCAAGTGGGCCATGCAGGCCAAGCTGTGCAACTATGAATACTATAGGAACAATTGCTGCTTCTCCTGCACTCGTCCTTATTAAATCGAACAGAATGTAGCTTCAGTTGTTGCGAATGAGTGGAAAATGAAACAGAAAAACAAAAAGAACAAGAAAATAACGAAAAACGTGATCTTAAAGCAATTTCTTACATACATATGCATATATATTCATAAATGATCATTAGTAGATACATATGTATATGCATAACTATCAAAACTAGCTGCAAATTCTGAGTATGAATTCCAATTTGACATACGAGTGCATTTACATCTACTAACATATACCGCCTAAGTGCATAAATACGTAAACGAAACATAAACAAAGCAAAGCATTTTACTAAACCTAACTCACACATGTAAGCTGAATTTTGACCTGAAGTTAATCAAGTGCCACACTTAAAGATATTATACGAAAATCTTTTAACACCCATAAAGTGTCTTCAGTACTATGAATATTCGGCGAGGGCTGGACTAAAACTCTGTCCGATCTTACAACAAATATATATTCATACATATATGTATATTCATTTAAATAAATTAATTTTATTTCTTTAATCTTTCTTTTATTTTCTTAGATGCATCCATATTTTGCAAACATATGTTTATAGTGTATGTACTTGACAGGCCTGTAGAGTATATTGGGTTTGTGCAATGCCCGTCTTGCTATCCTCCTATCTGTCCTTAGCCATTTTAACCCAAATTTGCCAAGCATACTCGTGTATACGCAGTACAAGTTTATCTTATTTTTTCGATAACTCATCCGATAACTTTTTTATCGAGAATAATCTAAAAATCGACTTGGTTGTTTCAGCCTAATTTTAACACTTTTAGACAATTTGCATTGTATATAAAATTAATGGATAGAAAGATATTGTAATTTACAGATTTTGGATGACACGCCCCCCTCGCCAACAATTTGTAAAAAACGCATTTCAAGTACCCAGAGACTTGTGCTTTGCAATAAAATCTTTCATAAAGATCTGATCGTCTTTCTTAAATTTTATATATATCTGGAGACCCCGAGATAACAACAATATAATGTATTTATAGCTATCCAAGCCCATTGGGTGGGACTATTTAGGTAATAGTATATCTTCAATGGCGTTAGAGCTAATTTAACAAATTAAGCATCCTATATTTTTACTGGCTGAAAATTATAGGTCCATATACATTAACGGCGTGGAAAATTTTTAAAGCTAATGCTACCAGCATTGGCATTAGCATTTGAAGTACATATAAAATATGTAATAATCACCTGCAACTCCTCTCAATACATAGAAAATCTATTAATTCCCGCTAAACATATTGAATCATCACAGTTTCCTTATCTATTATAAGCACTAATGTATAAACCAACCTCAATAAGTGCAAATATATATAATAGAACCATTCCATTTGGTGCTATATACGATTATATATTTTACTGAAATCATCTATGACATTTATGTTAATAATATAAAGTAAAGCTCGATTTGCCACGCCGCCAAGGGGCAACTTTAAAAAGAGTCGATATTCTATTAACAAGCAAGCGAACATTGTTCAAAACTGATATACTGTTTATATTTCAAATATTTAGTCATTATTCGGTTGACGAATGAACGATATCTGTACGTCTTCCGCAGACTTTTACTTCACGAAATTTCTAAATTTGAGCTAAGTATGCAGAATTTTTGCAAATACAACGAAAAAAGCAAACGTTGTGCTAACTGGTTCAGTAAGATTTGCGCCGACTGTCGGTCCCAATTCCAAAAAAACAGTGTTGGCAAACGTTTACAGAGTGATAACGTGCATTCGAATGCTGAGCTAATAAGTGCTGATGAGTGCTACAAGTCTATAAAACGCAGCGCCGAGAATATAACTAGGGATGGCATCCATGTTGAAGATATGTGGTGGAAGGTGCCGTTTCTACTATTGATATTCGGCTGCATTCTATTGTTATCTATAGGCTTCTGCCTGCTCTCTCAGAAGGCTGTGTGTATAATACAGGAGCGTGTGGATCAAACAGATATTGATAAATGTGACAACAAAAAATATTATGAAGCAGAGAAGAGAAGATCCAAGCCGGAATGCATTCAACCTTCGGATACTCAAATCAGCATTTCCAAATCTTCCTGTTCCCTAAAGTATCAAAAACCAAGCCGGAGGCATTATGAATGCTCAAACTGAAAAGCTGTTTACCATCATTTTTTACTACCATGATGTTTTTCATATAATTATCATGTTCAAGAACTCCATTAGACATGAAATGGATTTTTGATGTTTCCATTAAAGCATTCCACGCAATCACGCAATCGAATCCGCAAACACACAAATCTTGTGCCGACTTAAAAATACCTCTTGAACAAATAAACACACTTTATAGTGGTTTAATATATAAGATATAGTGATTTAAATATTTTTTAACCAATCGAAATAGTAAGTATGAGTATTGTAAGTGTAAATATGAGCACGAGAAAGATAAAATATAATTAGTATACAAAAATACATCAATTTGTTTTATTAATATCCCTGTTTGTAGCTTATATCTTCTCGTTAAGAGCTATTTACAATTTTTAATTTAAAACTAGACACCCTGTTTGTAGCTTTGGTTACTTTCTGAATACCAATATTCAATCCCAGCTTGACGTGGCTGAATCGCACTTCGGTTAAATTATTGCCTTTCTTTTTGAGTTCTAGTAAAAAAGTAAAAATTATTTCACAATGATATTAAGTTTTATAAAACTTTACTTTGATACTTGTTGTATCCATGGCTTTCGATATTTAGTGAAAAGCGTGTTAATCCTGCTGGAAAGGTAGATACTGGTGCACGCACAATACTAGATGTGAAAACTAATGTATAATCTCCATAGGATATTTTGGCTTCTACTGCTGATTGTCTCAGTATATTTCTGTATTATCTCTTGCATATCCTCTGTGGAGCGCTTTCATACGAAAAGCACACACATTGGTTTGGAGCGGAACTCCTATTACTGGAACACCTCAATGCCGGGTCTCACAATGTAATTTATCTATATTTAGTAGATATATGTTTTTTGTTTAATTGCCTTTCTGCTACATTTAGCGGTAACGTAATTCAGTTTTACACAATAGATTTTTACATAACTATATTTTAGAACTAGCTTCAGATATAAATATTATATACATTCTAGATGCCCGATGCAGCGGTTGAATCAGTCGCTTTTTAATAATTATTGTCGGTGAGCTTGAATTGAATATTTATCAAAGATTGTTTAATAATTATTTGTAATCATATTGAAGCGCCAATAAGGTAAAGGGAACGGACAAAACGGAATTTTGGGATTTCCTAGAAAATTTAGCAAATTCCACGTATACAAATTTTGAGAATATACCGGATTACGATAGCATTGATCACACTCTAGATCAGCTGGGTATCAAGCCCAAGCATTATATGGAACTGATTTACAATCTGACTTTTGACGGCACCTATGAACCCATAGAAAAACTTCGCATCCGCTGTGTCGATGGCCAGCTACACCTGAAGACCCGACAGATCCTTACCGAGTTTGGCCTCTGTTATCTGTGCAGCTCATATTTGGGCGAGGAGTACAGCTCGCGCTATTTAATCTTTGGCGAGTATCCGGAATTCAATAAGTATTTAAATAAGCATCGATTCGTTCTAGTCAAGAAAGCAACATTCTTTGACAAGGATGTCGGCTTCAACCTAATGGGCTTCGATACAGACGCAATAGATGTAAGGATTCATGAAAAAAAATAACTGGACTATATATCAACAAGTTCTTTTTTCAGAGCTATATACATTCAGCGTTTGAGGTCATGAAGGTGGATAATAACTTTGGCTATTCACTAGAAGGAGCTGCCTACGAGCCAGAAGTTGAGGAAATAATTGCTGAGCCGAATTTCGAGACGTTAGTAAATGATTTTCCGATTTTCTATATAATTTACATATGTACGCATTTCATTTACCAGCGAAACGTCTATCAGTCAAAGGAAATGCCGTTTCTATCACGAGTCCAATCTCACGCATTATCCTTTTTATACCAAGAATATTTGCCAGCAAGAGTGTCGCATTAACTTGGCCTATAAGATATGCAAATGTATTCCTCATTTTTATCCCAATCGTAGTAAGTGAATCGAATTTCATGGATTTGTATATTTTGTGACTATTAAAACTCTGTTCTCATTTCTTAGTTGCCAAGCCGAAACCAGTTTGCACCTATAAAACACTGAAATCCTGTTTTCCCAGGCATGCCGGTCAGTAAAGTATATATATGTATCATTAGTACAACATCTATAGTTTAGTTCTAATTTGTATACAGGTTACTTTCTGAAATTTTACGAAGAAAATGGTAATCATGAGAAACCAACTGGCTGCTACTGCGAGCAAAACTGTATAGACGCTGTGATCAAGCTCAAAAGTGCGCTCGTACGTATCATAATTAATTATTACCTATTTATACCCAGAGCCCATTCAATGTGGGAAATCAGGGTATAATGGTATTGTTAAATATATGTAGCAGAAGGAGGCGTGGCAAACACTATAAAGTTATACGGTTAATGTTCTTGATCAAGGCGATGAGCTGATTCGATTTTGTCCTGTAAGTCTTTGTATTCGTAAGTCCGTATGCTTGAACGCATCGATCTCGGAAAATATAACAGCTAAAGACTTGATGTATTTTTTATAAATTCGAGCTTGTTTCCAAAAATCGATAACTACTCTCGTTTTTATACCCCATTGAAAATGGGAAATCAGGGTATAATGGTTTTGTGAAAAGTATGTAACAGGCAGAAGGAATCATCGCATAGCCCATAAAGTATATATATTCTTGATCAGGACGATGAGCTGAGTCGATATAGTCCTGTCCGTCCGTTCATCCGTCTCTATGAACGCCTAGATACTATATACGTATGAGGAATACAAAGATTTTGTAATTTACAATTTGTACCGCGCCCCCTTCGCCAACATTTTATAACAAAATTTTAAAGATAGTTTAAAGATAGTCCATCCAGAAGAGAAATTATTCAACTAATAAATTCTCATAATATTGCCCACACTGTAGTGCAGCCCAAGCGCTGTCGCTGCTAACTGCGCACGTGTGGATGCATGTGTATGTATGCATAAAAGATGTGCAGAATGAGTATAATAGCAGCTTGGAGGGTTCAGGGTATCTCCTAGTCGAGCAGTCTCAACTAGAGCCTTCTTACTTGTTAATATTTATTTACTTTACTATTTATTTAGGCCATGCGAGGCTCTAAACAGTTGCTTGGCAGTATGGGAAGTTCTGTCTCTATGAGCACCTGGCCAAGGAATCAATTCAAGAGACAAGTCATATTTTCCTTCACAGATTTGTTAGGTAGGTCTGACTGACTTACATATTTTAATATATAATATTATATATAAATTTGCAGTGTCAATAGGCGGTACTGCCGGTCTTTATCTTGGATTTAGTGTCCTGGGCTTGGTAGAATTTATATACTTTTTTACGCTGCGCTTAGTTTGGCAATTACTTGGGTATAAACTTTAAGTTTGTTTATTGCTTTGTAATATGCTAAATATTTTTCGCTTTTCAATCAATCTGAAAACCAAATAAAAATAGAAAAAAAAATATATTTTAACAAAGTAAAACAAGTTTAAACCAGTTACAAAGTACACAGAAAACTACACATTAAAACAAACAAATTAATTAATATGTAAGTAAAATTGATAACGGTAAACTAAGCATACTTACATGTACATATAAACAAAGCTTGCAAGCAGATAAGCGCATTGGCTACAAGTGATGTGCGATTTCCCTAGAGTTTTCACAAACACAGTGAGTCCCTCAGCGTGGTAAATTCATTCTTATAATGAGGATTATCATTATCAAATTGGCATTTCAGTGGCTCTAACAAAATATGTGGAGAAGGAGCTACTCGTCCGCTTTGAGCATATACTGGAGAATAAAGATGACACGCGCTGTTCGCAATACGTTCAATTTAATATTAAGGATGTACTGGGTGCATTGAATATTAGGAAACAACGCTGGATGGAAATGCGGGATTAGACGAACATCGGCACATGGAGTTTGTACCCGATCCCGAGTATGAGGCATACAACAATTATGGCAAACTTAATAAATCATCAATAGCATTTGCTATCAGCAGCGAAGTCAATGCTAGAAGCTCGGTACTCAAAGGAAAGGTGCTGAAGCAACCTAATAAGAGGCAGTGCCAACTCACGACATATTGCAATAGACCAAAAACGTGCGCAAGAACATGCTAAGTATCTCCCTTTGCCGGGTTCAGGAAGCTTCTCGTCAGCAGTCTCACCAAAAGCATTCTTAATTTTCGCTTGCTTTGACAATTGCCGTGATATAAACATAGAGCCTTGTTTATTGATTTAAAATATGTATATAAATATATGCATAATTAAACACAATAATGTAATGTATGTACATATGTAAGAATATACTCAAACATTCTAAATATCAAGTGGCGTCGCTGTTGCTATCAGCTGGAGAACAGCACTATTCATATAGCCTCGGATCATATACATAATATACTGTACATATTGTATATACGAACTACTTAATATTCCACTTAAGACTGCTTGTGCTCTAAATCCAAGTCCAAGTCCAAATGAATGATTACAACTTATTCCGCATTTCTACAATTCTTGCAATTTACCGTGTTGTCCAAAAGAGAAATCGCGAGAGAATAAATTAATATTGATAACAGCGAGCCCGACTGTTTGCATTTTCACATAAAATTACACGGAGAGAAAATATAGCAACAGAAGCACAATAAACACTTGCATATGCAGTAGAGTGTATTCTCCGAAAAGCATGAACTCTGTTAAGGTTTCCCATTTAAAATAAGATTTAGTCCACCCACGTCACAAATGTCACTCAGGTGTACTTACGTACATTTGTAGCTAACTCCTTTTTTTGAGCTGAGAGCATTTTGTGACGCCATTTCTGCTCGCTAGTTTGTGACAAACTACCCACGCAAGGGCAATAGTACAAACATTCTCCCAAGCTTAAATGCATCATTTTTGTGCTCTCCCATAACCATTGCATATGTGTGCGTGTATACTTTCATTGGAGACGAACGTAAGCGGCTCAGTGTTCTTTGCGTATTTGAGCACTCTCTTAGGCTCTCAGCGTCGGCTTGCAATCATAAGCAGCTCAGTTTGCTTTGTGTTGGCGTTGCGGTCGGTTGGACGTAACGCGATCGCTAAGCGCGAATATTGAAGAACCACTTCAATATACATATAATTATAATTGCATTTTCTTATCGGCTTAAATATACACCAAACTCTCATTCGTACGTTTCGTTATATTATCAAAATTAGTTAGCAATAGCTAATTGAATTGCAATGTTGCACAAATTCGGCGGTTGTCTTGCAATTATTTATTTAAGTAGCTTCATTGTGCATCATGTGGAGACCAGGAATATCAGAAGTGAGAAATCGGATGCAGCCGCACAGTGCGGCTATACGGTAAGTCTCTGCATTTACACTTACACACTATATGTATGTATGTAAGTATGCCTGCATGCAAGGGAATTTTCCTATTGTGCATTCTTCACAGATCATCACTGTCCATTTTTCATTAGCATTAGTGTTGAAGGGCGAATAGAAGATATGTACATAGATTGATAGAAATGCATACATACACACACGTATATACATGCATTCTATTCTGATCAAGAAATTTTTACATATACATATTTTAAATTTAGTATATTGTATATTATTCGGTTATAAAAAAAAAAAGTAATGAGGTAAAAAAAAAATGAAAAATACATTCATTTGATATATTCTTCAAAAGACCACAGTTAGTTTTTAATGATTTTCGAGGATGCATCAAAATCAGCTGATGATTGAAAAATAATCAATAATTAGAAATAACAGAAGGCCAGCCGTAATTCAAAGTTATTCATTTGAAACTTATTGTAAGACGTAAAATGATATTCACATATGACACACATATACTAAGTTAGACTGATGTTTTCCTTTTTAGTAGACCTTGCAAATATCTTAAGTTTGGAGTCCAAACAATATTTAAATTAACAATAAATATTTTAATCTAAATATTCCTTTCAAATTGCTTTTAAAAGTATTGGGTTTATCACTAAATTAAGTTGTATAACATCTAGAGCTCGGGCGCTGTATATTTATATAATATAATTCCTTATCGGTGCTGAAAGTCAAGCAGTACACACATATAAACACAAACCAATTAAGTCGTTTATTTTTCAAGACATACTTACGCACACATATATATTCTTTATATTACTCATACATACATATATGATTTATCAGTTTTCTAGTTGAAATTATTAATGGAACTGTTTACTTTTTTCAGAGCTGCCATCCAACGAAACCCAATATGCTGAATGTGCATATTGTCGCACACACCCACGACGATGTTGGATGGCTTAAAACTGTTGATCAATACTATTACGGAAGTGAAACACTGATTCAGAAGGCCGGAGTGCAGTATATTATCGATTCCGTGGTGGAATCCCTTTTGAAAGATCCAAACAGACGATTTATTTATGTTGAATCGGCGTTTTTCTTTAAATGGTGGAAGGAACAGACGAAAGAGCAGCAGGACAATGTGAAAATGCTAGTGAACGAGGGCAGACTGGAGTTTATAGGCGGAGCTTGGAGCATGAATGATGAGGCTACCACTCACTATCAAAGTGTAATCGATCAGTTTGCTTGGGGATTACGGTGTGGTCCATCTGTATAAATGTCATCGCTTGCCCACATAGCTAACTGAATTTGGTTTGTAGGCAATTAAATGATACGTTCGGTCAATGCGGACGACCACGTATTGGATGGCAAATTGATCCATTTGGACATTCCCGTGAAATGGCTTCGATTTTTGCACAGATGGGCTTTGATGGCATGTTCTTTGGTCGACTGGACTACCAGGATAAGGACGAGCGACTAATGACCCAAAAGGCCGAAATGATTTGGCATGGATCCGCAAACTTGGGCAAGCTAAAAAAAATTACTATTATTCTTTTCAAACTTGTATAAATTTAGTTGAAATATTTCATGTAATTCGTAGATGAGAAAGCGGATCTCTTCACTGGAGCCTTGTACAACAATTACCAAGCACCGGCGGGATTCTGCTTTGACATACTTTGCGCGGATCAACCCATCATTGACGGCAAGCACAGTCCCGACAATAATGTAAAGGAACGCGTAAGTTCGAGCCCCTTGATTTGGTCGATCATTGTACATATTGTCTGCCTTTATCATTTTATATGAAACTTGTCCCTGTGTTTTGTCCTCTCACTGAATCGCCCAATACTGCATCAGGTTGACACGTTTTTGGACTATGTCAAAGCTCAAAGCAATTATTATCGCACCAACAATATTATCATAACTATGGGCGGAGATTTTACCTATCAAGCAGCTCAAGTTTATTACAAAAATCTCGACAAATTAATACGGTAAAATTAAATATGTGTTGCATATTTTTGGCATAGTTTTGTTTGTTAACGAAAGCCCCTCATTTTGGTTGTTCATGGGTTTTACCTTATATGAAAATGTAATTGGAGTACATGCTCTCTGTGTATAGATCGATACGTTCTTTGAGTTTGTCACTAAGATGGCCAAAGGTTATCGCACGCCCAACTTGCTTATAACAATGGGTGAGGATTTCCATTACCAGAATGCTGATATGTGGTATAAAAATCTGGATAAACTTATTAAGTAAGTAATGAGGGGCTTTCCTTAACCTTGAAGCTTAATTGTACCCGTACAATTATAGTCACAAACTAAAACTTTTTTAAATACCCTGCAGGTACGCCAATGAGCGACAAGCAAATGGATCAAATATAAATTTGCTGTACTCCACGCCTTCATGTTATTTAAAGTCTCTGCATGATGCTGGCATTTCATGGCCAACAAAGAGCGATGATTTCTTTCCCTATGCATCCGATCCACATTCCTATTGGACGGGATACTTCACCTCACGTCCCACTCTGAAGCGTTTCGAACGTGATGGCAATCACTTCCTGCAGGCTTGCAAGCAGCTCAGCGCATTGGCTCCCAAGCGCTCGGCAGAGTTTGATCCGCATTTGAATTTCATGCGAGAGACCATGGGCATAATGCAGCACCATGATGCAGTCACAGGAACGGAGAAGCAAAAGGTTGCCCTCGACTATGCCAAGCGCATGAGTGTCGCTCTGCGTGCTTGCTCGACTAACATAAGATCTGTGTTGAATCAATTGTCTATTTCATCCGATCGTGTCAGCCCACAACCAACTAAATTTGAATTCAAAACTTGTACTCTCCTTAACATAAGCAGCTGTGCCACATCCGAGCTGAACGATCGATTTGCGCTGACGCTGTACAATCCACTGGCTCATTCGACCAATGAGTACGTGAGAGTACCTGTTACTGATTACAAGTATGTTGTAATCGATCCGACAGGTAAGATACAAATGTGAGCCTTACCAGCAAACATTCCTCATTTAATTCATATTATTTTTTAGGTAAAAGCCTGTCAACTCAAGTGGTACCTGTGCCAAAAGCTGTGACCAACCTTCAGCACAGAAACTCAAGCGCCCAATATGAACTTATTTTCTTGGCATCCAACCTGCCTGCTGTGGGATATAAGACCTATTATATCGAAAAATCTGATTCGATTCCTGTCAGTGGCAAACCTTCACCTTCGCCAAGGAAAAAATCTAGTTATACTGTTATCGGAAACAAAGTAATTAAACTTCTATGCTTTCTTGATGTTCTAATGCTAATATTTAGTTTTCTTATAGAACATTAAGCTAACATTCGATACCAATGGATTCCTCGTTTATGTCACAGCAGATGGAATGACGCGCCCGATATCCCAAGAGTTTTTGTACTACATAGCTGCAACTGGAAATAATGAAGAGTTCTTAAATCGCTCATCGGGTGCATATATATTCCGGCCTGACAAAAATCAAATACGTTTCGCCACAGATGAAGTCTCTATAGAGGTGTACAAGGGTCAACTAGTGCAAGAGGTGCATCAGCAGTTCAACAGTTGGATAAGCCAAGTGGTTCGCGTATATAAACAGAGCAATCATGCAGAGTTCGAGTGGTTAGTGGGTCCCATTCCCATCAAAGATAACATTGGAAAGGAAGTCATATCGCGCTTTACGTCTGACATTAAGTCTGATAGCATATTTTATACTGATTCAAATGGTGAGATATGGATGTCATATTCTATTCTATTATACTAGCTAATTTGTTTTTCATCAGGCCGCGAAATGTTAAAACGTCGGCGCAATCATCGTGAAACGTGGAACGTTAAAATTCACGAATCTGTTGCCGGCAATTACTATCCCGTGACAACGAAAATCGCCTTGGAGGATGACACGGCTCGTATGGCTATTCTGACAGACAGAGCTCAGGGTGGTAGCTCTTTGGAGGATGGTGTCTTGGAACTGATGGTACATCGTCGGTTGCTGCACGATGATGCATTCGGTGTGGGCGAGGCCCTGAACGAAACTGAATACGGCGAGGGATTGATTGCGCGAGGCAAACACCATTTCTTTGTGGGCAAATCCTTAC